TTCTAGGTCAAGGAAGTTAAGAGCTGGTGTGGCTCCTTCCTCCATCTCTTCTTTGGAAACTTTGGCCTTGGAGGGCACAAGTTCTCTACAGCATCTTACCAGAAGGAGCAAGTGTTTTATGTGACTGTGGAATCTGTATCTACTGTGTTAACCTGATGAGATTTTGGAGTTCATTTGTTACTGTGAATCGTCTTGCTGATCAGCATAGTCATCTTTAAAGGAGGAATAAATCTCCAGTATTTCTGACCTCCTGAAGCATCTAAAGATGATGATGATGATGATGATGATAGCAGCTGCAACAACTACCATTTATTGAGTCTTTGAGAAACACAAAAAGCTCATTGCAGAGGTTAAGCCATTCAGCCCTGTCAGGTATCTAATGAGCTAATGTTTTGCTATTACATAATAATAGTGTTTCTAAAATAAACTTTAACTTATTTTTGTTTTAAAGGATTCTCTTAAACAACGTCAATGAGGGGAAAACTGCATAGGGGCAAGAGTTTTAGAGCGTGGCATCAGTTATTTCTCCTACAGAAATGTCCCTCTCAGGAGAAAGGCATACTCCATTCTGTTCAGTTCCCTGTTCAGGAGCTATTCTTAGAGTGAGAAGTGCACCTTATACAACTGGGAGCCTTCATCAGCTCTTCAGGAAGACCTTTCAGGCCAGCTGTGTTCCCTGAGTAAACATGAATTACTGCTGAATTAACTACAAATGAAAAGAGGTGTGGAACTTTGTGATATGGAGAGCCTGCATTCGGTCCACCCACACCTAAGTGGAAAGACCCTGAGGCTCAGGGGAGAAGAGCCCAGCCCACCAGCCCAGCCCATCCACCCCGCCACCCTGGACTCCTCATTCAGGGTTTATTTTACGAAGAGGCAGGCAGAGCACAAATGGCTAAATTTGGTTGTGTTTTTATTTTTGTCCAGCCACAAATACCGGCAAAGAACTGAAAACGATTCCTTCCCTTCCTAGAATCAAGCTGGTTTTATTTTTAGCTTCAGCTCTGGTTTCGGGCTTTTAGCACACAGGCAGCAGTGGGCTGGATTTTAGGATTTTTGTCTAGACTGGCGTTTTGGTTGCCTGAGTGTAACTCTCACCAGGCTTTGTGCGGCTGTGACAATAGAGGGTGATTTCAGAAGAAACCACACAGAGACGCAATTCTGGCCTTAGGGACTTCCCTCTAAGAGAATCCTGTTTGGGGGTGGAAATGCACTCAGGGTGGATGGATGTCCAGGCTGGGATGGAAGAGGTGGCAACCCTGGATAAATTCGGGGGGGGGGGGAGAGGGGGGGAAGACAACAAAAAGGAAAAGGGAAGATAGCTGTGTTTGCTGAATGGTTCAGAACCAGGACGCTGGAGGCAGACCACCTTGTCCAAATTCTGCCTCCACCACTGCTGAGCACTGGCCTTCTGGAATGTGCTCAGCTTCTCTAGGCCTCAGATCTTATCAATGAGATGCGGATAATAATGACTCCTACTTCTGAGCTCTGCTGCCCATGATCCTGCACATCCAGCATGCAGCATAGCTTCTGACGTGCAGTTAGGACTCCATAAGCACCATTTTGATTGCTACCGCCTGCTAGCCACTATGTATACGCTGTGACATTAAGATTTTCTACAACCTTGTTCCATCAGTGTGGTTCAGCTGATTGAATGTCATTCCCAGGTTCAATCCCCAGTAGGGGCACATGCCCAGGTTGTGGGCTCAATCCCTGATAAAGGCATTGGACCAGAACTCTTGGGTCACTGCCAATCGAGGTCTCTCTCTCTCTCTCCCTCCCTCCCTCCCTCTCCCTTCTCTGTCTAAAATCAATCAAAAACATATTTTTTTAAAAGACTTATAGCAACCCAGAGTAGGGTTATTTTTTCAGTTGGAAAACCAAAGCTCAGTGGGCTAGATAACCTTCCCCACGTCTCATAGCAAGAACATGATATAACTAGACGTAACCCCTGCCCTAACCATTCCCTCATACGAACATGCCCTCCTCAGGACCAGTGCTCACACATGATTTAAAGGGACTTACCACTGACTCTGTGGGCACTGTTCTAAATAAGGAACTAGATTCCCCTCATCCTGCTCTTCTCTGGTCTCCCCCTTCCTTTACACTTCAGTAAAAGGAACACACAATGAGCAGATACCAGGAGTGACCCAAGAACGCCAGGGACGGAAGGCTGGATGGTGGCTGCCGCGCATCAGTGGGGGAGAACAGGGACTTGTTTAATGGGTAGAGCGTTTCAGTTTTGTAAGACAAGACAGTCCTGGAGATCTGTTACAGGAGAGTGTGAATACACTTAACACCACTGGACTGTACTCTTAAAAATGGTTAAGATGGTGAACTTTATGTTCTGTGATTTGTTGTTGTTTTTTACCACAACCTAAAATTAAAAACAACAACAACAACAACAACAATATACATTTAAAAGAGCCTGGATTGGAGCCAGGTGGGTACTGGAAACACTGGGGGGAGAACTTTGTAAAGTATATGATTGCCTAACCACTATGCTATACACCTGAAACAATGCAAAATAGTATTGAATGTAAACTGTCACTGAAAAATAAAATTTAGCTGAAACTGATTTGGCTCAGTGGATAGAGCATCAGTCTGCGGACTGAAGGGTCCCAGGTTTGATTCCGGTCAGGGGCATGTACCTTGGTTGTGAGCACATCCCCGGTGGGGATGTGCAGGAGACAGCTGGTTGATGTTTCTCATCGATGTTTCTAGCTCTCTGTCCCTCTCCCTGTAAAAAATCAATAAAATATATATTAAAAAATAAAAAGAAAATTTAAACTTCTTTAAAAAATAAAGTGCAGCGGCCGGGGAGTCAGGCTGCCTATGGGACAGGCAGGAAGGTGAGCGTTTCCAGTCCTGCTTCTATCAGGAGCCTGGGGACAGCATCACTGCTCACACCTGCTGACAGCGGCCCTGTTCTTTGAGGTCTTAAATGCTCCCCCCTCACCTACTTTGCCCTTTGTGACCTCCGTCTAGTCCCCTGTCCTTCTGAAGTCTCCAGCCATCACCTGGGATGACAGGGGGAAAATAGCAAAATCCCACTCAGGGAGTATAACTGCTTGATGCGGAGCAGGGAGCATGGCCTTTGGGGTCAGTAGGTGAGCAGCAGCTCATTTTCTCATCCCCTCCGGTTTGCTTAGCTGGCAAATGGGAGACTACCCTTCCCCCCGGTAACCAAATACACACTGTTCACTCCGAGGGGAGCATTCAGCCAGGCTATGGACTGTCTTCTCCTCCAGGGAGTTCTGGGGGCTCAGGGGATGGGAGCTTAGGGGACCCTGTGGAGGCATTCGCAGATTAGACTGTGTAGAGATGCTAGGGCAGAGGCAGGGTAGGGAGCATGAGATCGGGTATCCTTAGGCCCATGCTCCCAGGAGAGCAACCTGCATGGAGGCCACCACAAGGCTCGGTGTCTGTCCCTCGGAAACTTAGACACCTTATTTTCTGTGGCATTAGCGCCCACCATCTAGGGGAGAGTGTAGCTCTGCTGCCACCATCCAACAATGGGCACCGCCAGTCACACTGCCCACCTAGACCGTGGTCTCTGACCCAGGGCCAACTGTGTCATGAGGCATGGTGGGGACAGTGCCCAGAGTTAACAATACTTTTAAGGATCCATGAAAATGTCTTCATTTCTTCTAAACTTAGAAGAAAAAATATGAACTTTCAGATCAGAGTACATGTTATAATATAGAATACTAATATATTTGTTTTTATATCAACATAGTAGCAAAATATAATATGTATGTATAATATGCATATGTATATATGTACATATGTGTACATACACACTAGAGGCCCAGTGCATGAAATTTGTGCAAGGGGGAAAGGAAAGTTTCTCAGCCCACCTGCACCTCTCCAATCCGGGACCCCTCAGGGGATGTCTGACAGCCTCTCACAATCTGGACTACTGGCTCCTAACTGCTTGCCTGACTGCCTGATTTCCCGTAACCACCTCTGCCTGCCTGCCTGAGCGCTCCTAACTGCTCCCCTGCTGGCCTGATAGCCCTTAACTGCCTCTGCCTCGCTCCATACTCGGGACACAGGAGGACTGTGGGTGGGCTGCTTCACCCAGGCCACAACTGCAGGTGCCCGGGACCGTGGGCAGGTGGCTTGTCCCTCTCCTGGTCCACAGGTACAGTTGCTGGCGCCCAGGTACGCGGGGCAGGCTGATTGTCCCTCTCTCTCCCATGCTGCAACCTGGCTAGTCCCCATTCCTCTCTCACAAGCTCCTTTGTGCCTGGCTGGTCCCATTACTCTCTCCCCAGTGTTGAGTGTCTGAGCCCTTATGGTATGACAGCTTGAGGGTGAGATGACCATTTGCATATTAGCTCTTTATTATATAGGACTTATTAATTTGTTTGTTTGTTTATGGAGGGAGGTGCTCACAAAGGCAAAAGTGCCAAGGGCCCACAAAAGTCAAATGCAGCCCTACCTTGCTCTGGTCTGAAGAGCCAGGCTGGCAGGGATTCCCTTGGGCCCCTGAATCCATGATGATCTTCCTCACCCTCTTCACTGTTCCTATAGCAACTGCGGTCTTTCCCTCCCCCCTCACCACTTAGAATCTGGAATATTTTCTGTTATGTTATTTCTTTTTAGGGACCCATTTCACACGCCAGTTTCGTCACTTGGCTATAACTATCTGGAGCATGTGGTGAGAAAAATTCAAGAGGCTTGTCTGGGGTCCGTGGGAAAGAATGTTGTGATTCCTTAGTGGTGTCTCTCCTAAGCTTGTGATGGGGAAGGGCAGGACTCATGCTCTGTCCTTGCTTACCAAGGACCTTTGCCTTATAACTCCAACTTGTTTCACCGCAAGCTCCACAAGGTGGGGTTTGCCTTATACATGCTGAGCATCCCACATCCTCTGATCTAGAAAGTATCCTAATACCTAATGATTGATTGATGATTGATTAATTGATTGATGAAATGTCTACAAATAACACATTTGATCCAATTTAATGCCCCCTTGATATGCTTTTCCTCTTTAGGCGTCTGAACAAGAATAAGCTCCAGGTCCTTCCAGAACTGCTTTTCCAGAGCACTCCGAAGCTCACCAGACTGTGAGTAGAGTGGAACTCTATTCTCTTGCCTGGCTTTGGTGATATGGCGAATGTGGCTGCCTTCATGTGTGGAGCCCCGGGCTGCGCAGAACTTGGCAATTAGGCCTCACTCAGGGAGACTTGGAGCAGAGTATCCATGTGCTGTGCCCCACACTCCCCTCCAGGCCCATTTCCTTGCCCCCTTCATTCCGAGGTTGGTGGCCTGTGTGGCCAGTGGGGGCAGGCAGCAGTGGTAGTGTCCCAGGAGGCATGGTTTTGGACTAAGCATTTCAGTGTCACATCCTTGCTGGTTAGACCAGTCCTGCCTGCTGCCTGCTGCCTGCTTCCCACCATTGCCAGTCGGAGGGCCCTGGGTCTGGAGGCCTATGATTTTGTGGGCAAAGAAACACTGAGTTTTGCTCTGTCTTCTGAAATAGTCCGGGATATCCTGAGGAGGGGAGAGATGGCGATGCCTCTGTGCATTTGTTCGGTGTGAGTTTGGAAGCTCAGGAGCCAGAGGTATGCATCAAGAAGGGGATTGTGATTCACATGCATGGGTGCTAGGCAGCTGCTAATTACTGGCAGTGCACAGTCCTATGGCTTTGAGCTGGAAGTTCTGCTGGCATTGACTAGGGTGAGGTGAACCGGGTTGCCCAGGTCTTGCCTGTCTGAATGGAGCTGCGCCATGTTGGCTGCTTAGCAGGCAGGCAGTGAAATTTACAGCCTGGCCGGGGAGGCTCCCACTTCACTGGGGAGGTGCCAGAGTGGTGGCCACCATTCCCATGTGCAATGGCTGTGTGTTTAATACCTACTCGTGCAGTCAAACAATGCATATCGTTTCCGGATAAATTGGGAAATACGAAACACATGTTGCTGTGTGCACTTAAGAATGAGTTCTGAGTTAGGAATCTCTATCTCTATATCTACATGTTACACACAGCAAGACTATATGCATAAATTTATTTTAAAGGGCTCTTTGTTGGAACAAGAACAAGCGTTGGCTGGTGTGTCATTGGTACAGCGACCTCTCTTGCCTTTTCTCGGATACACCATACTTTGTCAAGGTATCTCCTGCTGTGGATTCCATTTCCCTTGCTCAGTCCACTTGTCCGACTTTGCTGAATATGGGGAAGGTTATGCCTCTCTTTCTACTCAACTCTGTATCCACTTTTATGGGCGTGAGGGTGGACAAAGTGCAAATGTGTGTCTAACAGGACTGAATAAGCAATACAAATGGACACACAGCAAAATCACCCTGATTTTGAATTTTCTTTCCTCTGCGTAGTTCTTCCCTGAAAGGCTCCCCTGATAACCAGCTCTGAATCGTGCCTTATCCACCTGCCCTAGCTAAATAGTGTGGACATCATGCCATCACCTGTGATCTCAGCATCACTTTCTAGGTATACAGAAGGTGCTTGGGGCTGGGGCTGCTGGGAAGCTTTGAGTGAATAGGGTCTGAGTGTTCTAGTAACTGCAGGATGTCGGGGCTGGTTCTTGCTCACGGGACCTGTGATCTCCACACCATCAGGTGATGCCCATATTGTGCAGGGCTGGTCTTGATCCAGGCAGAGGAAACATTCTGGGTGATGATAACTTGTCTCTGGGCTCCTGGGGGCCACACCCAGGCAGGCAGCACGGGGTGTGGGACAGCCCAGGGTACTGTCCTAACTGCCACTTTCTGAGAGAGGTTGGGAGAGTCACTTTCCCTTTTGTGTCTTAAGTGTGCTCGTCAGGAAAAAGGAGCTACACCCTCCACCTATACCTACCTCACCAGGAGCTGCAAGTATCCGATGAAGTAACGGGGTGTGTGTGTGTGTGTGTGTGTGTGTGTGTGTTTTCTAGTGTTTAAAGTGCTCTCTGAGTGTAATCACCAAGATAACTATTGTTCCTCCCACAATTTCCGTTTACCCAGCCTCGGTTTCTGACTGCGTTTCTCCAGGAGCAGTGAAGAAACTAGGAGTTGCTATGAGCACTGACAGACATTGCCCTAAGCTTTTTCTTCAGAGAGCTGCCCCAGGAAGGCAGGGATGATGCCTGACGCACTTTGATATTCATCCCACTCCAGATCCCGACCAGGCTGAGGGTGGGTGAACAGATGAGGGGTAAAGGCCGAAGGATGTAAGCAGTGCAATCAGGGAGCTCAGGTTCTTTTATCCGCCATTCACTCCCGCACTCACTCATGTCTTCGGTAGGCTTGTCCCGGTGCTTGTTCTGGCCTGGCGTCGGCCATGGGAATTGAGCTGCGGACGTGAAGGATGCCCAATTCTCTGTGCCCGTCATGGCACATTCTGCACGGCTGCCAGAAAGCTCAGAGCTAAATAAATTATTTTTCATTAAAGCAGCTATATTAACCTGGGTTTGGGCTATAATCAGCAATCCCGTTTTCTCTCTGGGCTCGATCTTTGATTTTTCTTAATGGCCCTATTGTGTCTTTGTCTTATTTTGTCAGCCACTCTGGGGCCTTTTTGGAAGTAAGCAGGGTACAAATGATAAATCAATAACTGTGCAATCATGAGCGTGGATACATATGCCACTGGCTCTGTTTTAAAAGAGTACTGCCTCTCAATGGCCATTATCTGGGGGTGCTAAACATGGGTACTGTGTGGCCATCTATTCTGTGTGCATGTGAGATATGATACAATCCGGATGTACCCATTCTCATTAGATCTATAGACAAAAACTGCTTAGTATTCAATGTTTTTTTTTTTAAAAAAAAAACTTTTAGAAAGGCTATGGACATGTAATTAGACATGTTTTGAGTGTGGATAGTAAAGAGGAATCATCTCTATTGAGAACCTTTGCTACTAGAACAGTAATACTAAATAGAAAGTGACAGAAATGCGACTAAAGTTAGGAAATATATTAGTTCATATGCCTGAGGAGTCCACTGATAGTTGCAGGGAAGTGGGGAGATATAGGAACAACTGGACCCCGGGGCCCGATGATGTCATTGGACTTCACCTCCCTCTCCCCATCCCTTGGAGCAGCACACATGATGGCAGCCCAAAGCAGAAGACTCTGAGGGGCCTCACTGTGCTCAGGGTGGGGAGGGTGCCCGGGGGAATAGTCCTGCAGATTGCTTAACTCGGTCACGTGTCCATGTTGCAATGAGGTGCTGTGCTCTGGGTGAAGAAGTCTGGGTCATCGTGTCTGGGGAGCAGAGTGTGCAGGGCCAGGGAATAGGTTTCTTGGAGGAAAGAATGATTCTGTTCCAGAAGACAGGGGTGGGATGCACACTGGAAAGCAACAGACACCTGCAGGTTTGCTGAATACCTACTCTGTGCAGTTCCCCAGGCTTCAATGGAGGGCTCTGGCCCCTCCCCACAATTCCTCAGGATAATAATCGCAGCCAGCTCATGGAGTGCCAGGGGCTGCTCTGAGCACTTTATACCTCACTCATCTGAGAGTCCTCACAACCCTGTAGGGTAGGTACTATGATTATTACTATCCCATAGATGTGAAACTCATACTCAAGAGGTTGAAGAAATTGCCCAGTATCATACAACTCCTCAGTGACAGAACCAGAAATCAAATGTAGGTAATCTGACCCCGATTCTGTGCTTTTCTCGACCAGAATCAGCTCCTGCCTCCATACTCCCATTTCATAGATGCAAAAACTAGAGCTCAGAGTTTAAATTACCTTCCCATGTAGCCCATATTTCTAAGAATCAGTGCTCCCCTGGGCACTCTGCCTCAATGCCGAGACTTAACCTTCACAGCAGTGCTGCAGAGAGAATCATTATTAAATTGATTTCCAAAGCTCATATTCCAATATTCCCTAAATTGCTATAACCAGATACAATGGAATGAGGACTCGAATGAGTGCCTGTCGCTGCAAAGCCCTTCAGTGTTCCAACAGGCCACACTGCCATGCTGAACACCATGTAGAGCTGAAGTTAGGCTACAAAGGCTTGATAATGGGTGGAACTGTCATAAATCTCAGAGCCCCTATGAGGTCTTGGCTGGGTTCCCTCCACCCCCCACACACACACACCCTCAGACCCAGCGCCACCTGATCCGATGACTCCTGTGTATATGAGTGCATCTCTGGCCATGGAATGAGAGAGCATGGTAGTGCCCAGGGATCCAGGTAACACTGCATGACCAGCAGGGTCTTGGTCATGCCTCAGGCACTCATTAGCTCCCTCCCATCCTGATTTAGATCATAATGTTCTCAAGTGTGGGCACTGTGCTTCTGCCCTCGCGGGTTTGCTACCTGCTCCAGACCAAGAGCTGAGCATAGAGAGGGCAGTGAAGTGAAAGGGTTAAGGAGCTGCCCATTATGTGCCGCGAGACTGGGCAAGTTACCTACCCTCTCTGGGTCTTGGGTCCCTCATCAGTGAAACAGACAGCCATAGAAGCTACTCCTCTGTGTTGGAGTGAGGATGAGTGGAAATAACCGCGCACAGTCTTCGCCAGAGCATGTAGCACGTAGCAGCACTTACGGAGAGATGACTGTGGTTGCCTTTCGCTAGCTGGCTGATGGAGCGGTGCGTGTGCTGGGGCTTTGGCATCTGTGCTTTCAGCGTTTCAGCACCTGGCAAAGAATTCAAGCCCCCAGACAGAGGAGGGTTGAGGAAAGCACTGCACTTGGGTTAGGGAAGTTCCCAATCCTCATGGCAGCTCTGCCTCCCACAGCTGTGTGGCCTCAGGCACGTTACTTCACCTCTCTGGGCCTCCGTTGTCTCATCTAGAGAAGATGGGCTGGGGTGTGATCTATTACATGTGATCTATCCCTTTCCAGCTGTCTTTTTCACCTGCACATGGAAGAGGAAAGGGAGGATTGCTGGTTATGTGGAGGTTAAGCAGGTAACGTTACTAGGAATACTTTAGCAGGAGCAGAAGACAAGGTGCAAACAGCGATTAAGCCCTTCTGCATCACACCAGCTTAGAGAGCTCGGGTGGGGATGAGGGACACAGTGGTTCACAACTGTTGTTTAAGCCTCTGAGGACGAGCGGATCACCCGGGTCCTTTGGGCGCAGCTCTCCTGGATCCGGGTCCAAAGAGTTCCTTACGTACT